ATATTTTCTTTCATTTTAGAAGTCTTTCTTTTGAAAAGAATTTTTTGCGGATTCCGGATGAATACAAGGAATTTATTGTAATAAAATTATTGGAAATGTACGTCAAGGTGGAAGACGTTCCCAATAATGAGGGCGTGCATAGTAGGGATAACCCCCAGTCATCGGGTGGTTATTCTGGAGTAGTTTTTGTCGGACAGATTGCTGATGAAAGAGTTTGCCTTGATTTAAACTTGTCACCAAAATATTGGATTTGTATTAACACTCATATTTTTCATAGGGGGTTGTAAGCACGTGATTTTTGCCTTATGTGAGAATTACTCCCAAAAATTCAAAATAAAATAATTTTCCTTTGTGTGCAATTTTGAGAATTTTTGTGACATTTTAGGATAATTATTTGTATTTGTCCATGCATGTTTATTTGTTAAATTAATAAAAAAATACAAAAATATGTCACATTTGCATTTAAGATTTAATTCTACAATTAGGAGTAATTAAGTTTGTTTTACCAGAATGAAAATTACAAAAATATGCATCGTTTGCATTTTTAGCATTCAATGTCAAATTGTGCAATTTTATTTTAATGGGTGTTTAATTATGTATGATAAATGTTGCTAGGAATTAGTTAGTATTTTTGATAAGTTAATTTAGTTTATAACTTAATTTAGAATGTTAGTTTTATTAATTAGAAAGTAAAAAAATATATAGCAAAAAATATAAAGAAAATCGGAATTGGGCCTCTTCTTCAATTTCAAACCACAGGCCCAAAAAATACTCAATCTTCCCCATGACCCGGTTCATTTCAACACGGGTCGACACCGGTCCGGCCCATAACCCCAAATGACCTAACCCCTCATAATCTTCATTTTTCATTTCCTAAACCTAAACCTAAACCATCCGCCGCCCCCTCTCTTTCTCTCCATTTTTTCTCCAAGCTTCCCCAAGCCCCCTCCAATGGCTGCCCAGCCCCCATCGTCTCCTCCAACACCCCATCGACCACCCTTCACCAGTCGTCGAACCTCCATAGCCACCGGACAGAGAAGCAACGGACACCATAGCCATCCGTTCGTCGCTTCTGCTTCTGCTTCGTCAACCACGAACAGCCACAACAACAGCCTTCACCTCCGTTTCCCGTCGTCAATACCATCTCAAACGACGACCATAACTGCCTGAAACCGGCGACCACCAGAAGTCCGCCACTCCAACCATGGACGTGGGGTTTGCTTCATCTGCTCCCCCAACGAAACTTCCCACCTCGTTTCTGTTGCTTCTGCTACGTCCAAACAGACCCCGTCGCTGCTG